CGGCAATTAAGTTTTCGGCGAAAATGCTTTGGCTATGAAAATTTGGTTTGGCAATCCTTGCCTCGGCACCGTACCGTCCATCCCATTTTATCAACAGTTTCACATCTACATGATTGCGTACATTTTCCATCTATTTTCTAAATACAGCATTGTTCATTAATTTATACAAATTTTTCTCGAAATTATTCGTCGCTTGTGTTCTAAACTGTGTATTTAGTTCGATGTAATCGCGGAGCCACGGAGATTGAGCGAATTGGAGTATACGGTGTATCTTTGTAATGCGAAGACCGTGACGCGTGCTGCAGGTTACGATAATGAATAACATAACGCTGCTTATTGTATAATGTTGTCAATAACTTATCCTGTCTTTTACCGGGTGGTTTGGCGCGCGTTGGACAAAACGGTAGGTCAGCGTGAGCGTCGTGCAAATGTTGCGTATATTCCAGATCGACCTCGAGAATATAACCTATGTGTGAATCGACAGCGATTGAAGATACATCAAATGTTGAAACATCTGTGACCCATTGAAATTCGGCGTGAGGCAGCGGTTGACACATTGCCCAACCGTACAGATTGTTCACGTCAAAGTACATCAAATACGACGATGGTTTCGATGGATCGTAAGACTGCATGTACCTGTTATTGGCCTGTACGTATCTACTGGAACATTGACTGAGACCGCCGCGTATACCACGTTCGATGAACATGACCATATCGATATCAGTGAGCAATTCAAAATTTATGCCGGTATGTTTTAACATAGCATCCCAAGTGAAACCCGGTAAAGTATAATAATGTGCAGGATCTAATCCGTAACTTTTGATGCAACTATCCCGGAAATTTTCAAAAATATCGGCTAATAATAAGACATCAGTCTTCAGATATAAATCGCTGTATTCACCTAAGGTTTTAATAGAGAATCGTTGCCAGACGTTCGCAGCGTGCGCGTAATCGCTCTCTGATACCGTATTACCCGTCAACGAATTATAAAACGATTCTCGCGGTGGTAAACACGGGTCCTGTAACTTGTCCGTGCAATCAAGGTATTCATATAGAAAAACACCCTTTTGCGTCAATAAATCGAAATCGGATATATTTGAAAA